TTAGATGTCACTTTCTCAAAAAGGCTTTCCCGGATTCTCCAATTTTAATTTGGTTCTCCCACCCATTATCTCTTCAACCCCTAACTTTTTATTCCTTTACATTGGTAGGTGTTTTTATTTCTCACTCCAATATATACCCAGCACCCAGGGCAGTTCCTGGCACATCAGATCATTAAAAAATACTGAATAAATTGGTATCCATGTAATCCTGAGGCATTTGACACTATATCTTGCAATGAGTAGAAGTTCAGTAAGGGTTTGTTGTTTTAACAGCTTATCTAATTATTACTTATCTTCTCTAAGCCAAATTTAAAGTCATCTTCTCAGCCTTCATTCAAGAGTAAGAAAAAGAAAACTGGGTCTTTTGATGTTAAAGGATGAATCCATGTGTAACTGATGTAATTCTGCAATCTGTATATGGGGTAAAAATGGGAGTTCATAACCCACTTGAATCAAAGTGTGAAATATGATATATCAAGAAATTTGTAATGTTTTGAACAACCAACAATAAAAAATTAAAAAGGAAAAAAAAAAGGATGAATCTAATGGGAGGATCATTTTGTAGGTCAACATAATTCAATCTGTTCCTTATTTTGTATTTTTTAAAGTGTGATTTGATCAGTTTACTGTCTTTATCATATTTCTGAGAAAAACCTTTCACCATTTTTTTGGTTGGATTATCTAGAACTCATACCTTCCTTTTTCAAGCTCCAGCGGAAATAATGTAAACCAACAAAATTTAGAAAAGACTTATCCACCCCAATGCGAAGAGTTAAACATTTAATGATTTTTTAGCCTGTAGAATTTTGAATTGTCATTCATTGTACTACCAGTCTTCACTTTTCTCGGGATTTACATTAACCTGTAAATTTTATTAACTGGTAGTGAGTGACGATAAATACTACCGATAGAAGTCAGAGGTATCTCTAAAGCTGAACAATGATTTAAAACTAATTATTGGGCCCCATCAACTTCTGAGAATTTTCATTTCTTAACAAGTTCCTAGGAAATGTGTTGAGAAGCACTTTGAGAAGCATTGCTTATGGGCAGTTAATTTTCAACAAACTACCATCACAGAGCCGAGACTACATATAAACTTTTAATGTGGATTGGCTTACTTATGTTCAATTTATACTGAGCCCAGGATGTATTTTGTCCTGGTACAGATTAGATTGCATTATTATGGTTCTACTTCCTTACTTTTAGAAACTTATTGCAATGAGAGTTAAAATAGTTCAATTTAGAGGGCCTAAATTCTGATCAATTCTAATAACCCTAGTATTGTTTCAAAAAAGTATTTAAATGTTGACATCAAAGACAAAATAAGTTCTTTCAGAAATATTTCCATTTTCAAACAGATGTAAATTCATACAGATTTGTCTATTATCACAGCAACCCTGGGCACAGTGGTGCACACCTGTAATCCCAGCATCTCAGGGAGGCTGAAAGAGGAGGATCGCCAAGTTTGAGGCCAGCCTTGGCAACTTCACAGGGCCCTGTCTCAAAATTTAAAAGGGCTGGGTATCTAGCTCAGTGGTAAAGCCCCCTAGGTTCAATTCCCAGTACCTAATAAATAATAAATAAATAAAATGAACAGGAGCATTCAGTCTTCCAACTTGACAGAAATGATACTGAATTTGAGCTTTGGGGAACAGATTTAGGGGAAAAAAATAGTGAAGGTTAATTTCAAATATTCTCTGGTGTTAAAAAGGAGAAACACATTCTCCTGTTGAGTCCACCTAAATATAATCAAAGCAGTCGTCTGTTTGATAATATCTAACTTGAGTGTCGTGGCTGTCCATTGGCTTTCCACCCTGATCCCAAAATATGCTCAAACAACAAGGTTTTCATTCATTTATTCTTTTAAAACAAGTCACTTCATATAGCATTTATATATTTAAAGTCATACACCTCATAAATAAAATCAATGCATCTTAATGACAATGGCAAATTCACATGAATTTTACAAAATGAAATTAGGTATCTTCCAGGTAGCAGCAGTGCATTAACTTTGAAAAAGAAAAAAAAAAAGCTGGCAAATAGACAAAGTAAGATTTTGAAAACAACACTGTTCATTATTCTTCATAGGAAAAAATATCTTATGTTAAGAAAAACAGATTTGTTTTGTTTTGCCTTTCTCTACTACTTTTTCAAGCTATATTCTAAAGCTCTAAGTTTGACAGCCTTGTGATTTTCTTCTTGCTTTAGGAACATCTGCCTTTACTGTATTAATGCAGGAATTGCAGAACTATTGTTATTCTTTATTCCTTTGAACAAATTATACATACTTATTCTGCAGTTTAAGCTAAATTCAAAAATTTTAAAGGAAAATATAACTTTGCTGAGTATATTTCCTGTAAACAGCTTGAGTCCTGGATGGCACCAACGTGAACTGGAAAATTGACATGAATTAGGTCCCCTGGTCCTTTACTTAATTTATGGATTATAATTAACTACATATTCTACACCTGACATAAAGTCAGACTCACAGAATCTAATTCTTTCTGATGTTAACCTTTCTGCTTATCTTTAACTTAACCAAATCATGTCTCTTCACTATCACTAAACTCCTAGATGTAGGTTACTATTTTAGAAAACAAAAGTATAAAAGGGAATCAGCAAAATTCATGGTCTTATACTTTAATATCACTCCTTTTCATCTATGGCCCTGCTACATTCTATGCCAAAAAAAAAAAAAAAAAAAATGGAAGAAAAAGATTGGGGCAACACAAAGGCATTGCTTGGAAATTTTTCTGAAACTCATAATTTATGACAAGTAATGCATTCATTTGACAATCTCTTCCTTTTTAGTGGGACTTTATTCTCCTACCCCTTTTTCACTCTAAAATACCACAGGTTATCAACCTCCATTAAATGCATGTGAATCAAGAATTAAGTCAGCACCTCACAATTCAGTATCAATGTAATATCTTTTTCCAAGTCAAATATTCAAAGCACTATAACAAAGTGCTAGCTAGCGTTTGGAGAAGATAAAACATTTCCCCCAAATCAGGGAAGTTTCTTTTCATGTTGGATGAAATATGGCTAAAATATTAAATGCTTAATCAGAAAACACCTTTAGTTAATAAACTAACTTACTCAAATTGTGTTTCGCTTTAGACTTAAATGATGTTGGCTCTATGTGACATTTTTAAGGCTTCTGACTTAAAAAATCAGCTTCCTTAAAATAAGTTTACTTAGAAACAAATGAAGAGCTTTAAGAATCCACATCTTTCAGAAATTGTTAGTCATCTTTATGCTATAAGGACAAATTTCAATACTGCACTGCATAACAAATGATAAATCATAATCACTTCATAGCAATAACATATTTTATGCTAGGGCACAGATCATGCTCCTAATAGTTACTGAAATTGGGTTCTACTGTTATCAAAACACCAGAATGTTTACCACTTGATACACTAAACATTTACAGCAATAGTTGATTATGAAGAGCTGATGGTTAGCAGCTCAGAAATTTTAATGTCCTCAACAAGATCCCTATAGAGCTAACATGTAAACTTTTATTTCATTTTTTTAAAGTGCTGCAAACAATAAATGTGTCTCAACACATGAAAGAACATAACTCTTAAATATACGCAAGTTTAAGAAGGCCACCTGATTTATCAAAAGAAAAAAAAAATCACTCTGTTGCTTAATTGTACATACTCCCCCACTGTAATTTTTTCAAAAAGATAAAAAACTATGATTAGCCAGGGTACATTGAAACACCCTTGTTTTAATCTCTACACAGGACAGAAGAAATAACCTAAAAAGTTAGGTGTGGGCACTTAGGGGCATAAATAAATAAATTAATTCCTGATAATGATTTTGCTGGGACTTGAACTTCTTGAAACAATGGAATGACTTTATAGCTTGTAACAGGTTAAAGCTGACCAGCAGACAAAGCTTCAAGGGTAACACTTGACTATGCCCATTTCTCATTCATGGGAAATAATAATTAGCAAAACATGTAACATACCAATGTCTTCATATGACTAACACAAAATTCTCGTGGATATTAATTTCAACTTCTGAAGTCACTCTTATGAGTGAATCTTCGTAGTACTACACCTGATCTTTAATCAGAAGAGTAAGAAAGAACAGGCGATAGGTTGGGAAAGCAGTCTATTCATTCTGCCATTAACTGTGGCAGAATGATTCTCATTTTATTTAAAAAAAAAAAATCTTGTATGACAGGCAAAAACTGAATAGGAAGAAGGATTTCATTCTGCTCCTCCAGTGCAAACTTGGGACACAGTTTCTTTTAATACTGCTGTAAGTACTAAATCCATAGAGCTTTCAAAATTCTCAAGATAAGGGCTGGGATGTAGCTCAGTTGGTAGAGTACTTGCCTCACATGCACAAGACCATGGGTTCAATCCCCAGCACCACACACACACACAAGAAAAAAAAGTTTACTAAGTGCAGTAGGAGGAAAAAAACGCTTTAAATTCTGTGAGGCTTTCAGGCTTTAGTTTAGAATACGCAGTTTAAGTTTTTAATTCTTAATTATTGTCAGCAAATAGTGTCTCATCTTGAATTTTTCCATGATCAGAGCACTAAAGTACTAGTGCTGAATTTCAGCAAATATTAACTTAAGAAGTGAATTCTGAAAGCAATTTGAATATCAATGTCTAAGTGGTCAATGGACAATCTAGGTAAAAGATTAAATAGAATAAGACCCCCAAATAAATACCTGACAATATGTAAACAACAATTATAATGAAGGGGCTTAATTTTAAAATGAGTGTTCTATGTCTTCCATGTTTTAAATTAATCCACTGTAGATAACATATACTCAATTTTAAAGTGACAATAATGCATGATGGGAAACATCAAAACATGCCAGGCACATTATAAATTACTCAATATTTGCCACACAAATAAACTTCTAAATCTAAAATTTCAGTAGCAAAGGTCAAATTTGGCTCCTGAAGTGGCACAGAAAGGCAAATTTTATGAATAATGCTCAATTTGATGGATGCTACCCAGTAGTATAATCTTAATTTATAGTTTTCAATTTAATATTTTCTGGGGGAAATAAAGGAGCTACAAAAACCATCTAGACCCAATGACAGACAGGTATGAAGAGATTTTCATATCATATTCATCTGTTCATATGATGATTGCCGAACATTAAGTATCATAAGCTCAGGAGCATTATTTTTTAAGGCTCAGTTAAAAAAGAAAATGAAACACTTTCAACTTACACTGATCATAATAACTTATAATGCCTAAAACAGCAGTGCACACAAAAGGTACTCAGGAAATGTCATCTGATGATTTAAAGCACACTTTGTGAATTGTTCCTTCAAGGAACTGTCCTCCTAAATCATTCACCTTTATGTTCCTTTATTTTACATGGCCACTGTCACCGTAAAAGCGCTATAGGTAAATCTCAAGTTTAAAACATCTGCCAAGAAGATATGTGGAGTTATAAGTGCTTTAAAGTATCCACTGGTTCTCTATGAGATAATAAATAATGAAAACAAGATAACAAAACTTCACAACATTAGGCCTCTTTACATTGTGTAAATACATAACAAATTATAATTTAGCATCCCTGATCTTCATAAGAATTAAGAGGTAGGAAACTTTATCTGGAAGATCTTGTGGTGAAGCTAAGTTTTAAAGGGTGTGCCTTGAGGATTAGTCCACCAAGCAAATGGCTACACATCTGATATTAGGAAGAAGCAGAATTTAGAAAGCTGAATAAGGCAAGGATTTAAAAACTTTCATATTTTGGAAGTGAAACAAATTCATTCAATAGTATTACACCAATTACTTTAAAACTGTTCAAAAGTCAAAGTAAAATATGAAAGATAAGCCAAGTGCTAATTTGTAACATGGAATATTCTAAAGAGCATTAGTGGAGGGATACTGGCAGCACAAAAACACTAGGTAGGTATGCAAAAGATCTTATAAAAACCAAACCAAGGCATAGCATTATCACTTTAGATGAAGACTTTTTCTTGGAGGAAGTGCTCTTAACAAAAAGGCTGAGGAAATTAAAGCCCTTCAGGCAAATGTGTATTTTTTTTTTTTTAAAAAAAAAAAGCAAAAATTGAGCACTCAAATTTTAAGGAACTTTAACTGAAATAGCATACCCTGCTTAATTTTAAAATTTTGTCCAATGTGCAAACACTAATACATAAATTGCATTAAAACATGAGGCCAATGGTCTTTTAAAGCTTCAATAAGCTGCTTCAGGCACCTTTTCCCTCATACATTCTGCTTTTATCCACTAGAAATCTTAAACAGGACCCAATCAATTCCTGTTTAGATAACATTCTCAAGGAATAGACTTATCCCTGCAAAAATTGCTTGCTATGTACTTATAAGTGGTTAAGTACACACTTACAAAGTCTAACAAATTGCAGTATAAAATTAGTTTTGACAATTGTATCTTCATTTGATGAATTCTTAATTTAGAAACTATTAACTCAGTTTTAAAAGGAAGCAATTACTGGAGACACTGTGGTTCATGTCCAGTGGCCTTAACACGAGGCCTTCCACATTACCCCAAATATGATGTTTTCTTCTACAAGTTAAAGCTCCTGGATGCTAGTTTGTAATACTAAAATCCAATCTTCAGGTTAGTGTCAGCAAGTGGCTGAGGACCACCTATTCTGTCACCCCAGCAGAAAGAGGGCATGTATCACCACTGTAGACACACATCTGTAAACTTGCACACTAATTTTAATCTTAACAAGGAATTTCAGTGTCTTAGTGGTTTAAGTTAAAAGGATGGTTCAAGCATTGTGTCCTTTGTTCTTCAGGGTTAAGAATAGCTTATTAGAAAACCCAGAGCTTTCTGGATCTGTGAGGTAGTAGGCTTCAACCCTCATCATGCATAGATCACACTTCTCCAAAGTTGGTATGGCCTGTCTCCTTGGCATGGTCCCTTGCTTCTGCTTGTCCAGTTAATCCTTTCTGACACACCATACATCTCAGGGTAAAGCGGTTTACATCAGTAAATTGTCTCATTCTTCTAGCTTCATCTGCTAGTTCCAGTGCTTGTACAAGGACAATATCATCATTAGAGGAGAAAATGGTCAAAGGAGGGGTATCTGGATCAGGGAAGTTTCGCTGAAGCGGATCATAGTGGATGCCATCATAGATCAGTAGAACCCTTTTGGTATATCCTGCATCTTCTCCAAAACGATCAATTCTTACTGTTTGTGTATCTACTACACATATTTCACATTGATAAAACTTAGACAAAATTGATATCTCAATTGCTCCCCCCCAAGTATCATCCCTTTTGATCCAGTCACAGTACTCTTGATTTGTTTTTCCCAGTATTGCCTCACTATATAAGTCTGGATCACTTGCTACAATTTGTGCTATAAGACGTCTCATCTCAGGGGCACAAGCTGGATTCAAGACTCCACCTTCAACGACATAGTATACACTGGTAAAGAGGCAAGAGTTGTCGGCTGGGACCACAGTTCTGGTAAGCACAGGCAAAGTTTCCCTGACATAACTAGGAGCACCATGTTTTGTATATGAAGGTGAAGTTTGGGGTCTGGTTTGGTCTTCTTCAACGATCAGCATGTCGCCTGTTAAAAATAAAACAAATCCAGAACTGCAGTGAAATTATAGACGAAATTAAATTACAAACAGAAGTTAAAGCGTATTGTGGAGGGAGGCTGAGGCAGGAAGACTGGGAATTCAAAGCCAGCCTCAGCAACAGTCAGGCACTGAGCAACTCAGTGAGACCCTGTCTCTAAAATTAAAAATACAAAATAGGGCTGGGGATGTGGCTCCCCAATTCAATCCACAGTACCTACCCCCCAAAGAAGAATACAACTTTATAAACATTTGTTCACTGTCTCTTCATAAAGATGAAAACAAGAGAACACAAAACACTTCAGATTGCATCCCAATTTAGTGAATTGGCTTGGAGTATATCCCTTTATATATACTTAAAAAGATACATTTTGAAAACAAACTTTTCTTACTTGCTGTCTGCATTTAAAAGCACAAACATTCCAGAAGATGCTCACACTAGACTAGGCCACTAGGGGGTTCTCCTCCTTCTGAAACTTAACATATCTACCCTATTTAGTGTTTACAGAGTTCTTGACAGAACGTTGGAAAGCTTTTAATTGTCAATGTTGATGTTCAAGTTTTAATACTGAGCAAAAATTAACTGCTGTTGGTTAGAACTTGAAAGGGCTTTTAGTGAATATTTTTAAAAGTTAATTCTAAAATGAATAATATATCTGTCGAACTATATAAGAAGGGGACTGCAAGAAGAAATCAGGAAAGGAAATAAAGTATGACGCAACATTCAGATACTGGGGATGGAGGGGGGAAACGCATTAGGCAAAGAAAATAGGTCCTATATTTTTATAATTTTGTGAATGCAAAGAAAACAAAATGAACGAGATTGTTTCCAGGTTGATCTGAAAGCAGGTTGGGGAAGAGGGACTCCTAGGCTTTTGGCTTTTCTCTCAAGCGTGTGTAAACAAAGGAGTTGCTAGACACTTGCCCTGCCTCTGTCAAGTTCTCTCTTCTTTGATCTAGCCTCTCCCCTGGCCTCAAAGCCCCCAGCTGACCCACTGCTGCCTAGCCTTGCTGGTTCTCACTTCTCCCCTCAACGTCCTTCCAGGACTTCCCCAGGCCCCTGCCCCGATTCCCTTACCTGACTGGATGGGCAAGTCCCCCAGAGTGGTATCCCCGTTGCTGAGATCCAGGCATTCGGGCGGGTATCCGACAAGGATTCGCTGATCGCCGGGAGCGATCCCGGTGATGGCGGCAATTTGGCCCTGGAGTTCTCGCAACCGGGTTCGGCTGGACAGTCCCTGCAAAACATGGGTGCCATCCTTGGCCTTGCAGCGGAGCCGCCACATTGTGTCGGCGCGGCCGCCCACAGGCCAGACACCCGCAGGGCCAGTTTTGGTCCCGCCAGCCGGTTGGGAGACGCCGCCGGGGCAACCAGCCGCGGAGTGGACTCCAAAATGGCCACCTTTTGCGGGGCCAAACATCGCGAGATGTTGCCGGTGTTACAGTTCTCGCGACACTTTGGTTCGGCCTCTACCTTAGTACTCCTATTAAAGAGCTAACTCTCTTAAAGCGATAACTAATTTCTCCGCCCACCCTCAGGAGCCAAAGGATAAATTTGTCGGTATTCCTAAAGTACAGCTGTTCTTGCTACCTGTACAGAGAGTGAGTTGCCGCCCGCGTCGGTAGCATATATGCTCAAGCGAAGAGGGCGGGGGAAGGAGTTCCTGAATCCAGTAGAGTGGAATGTAACCTTGCACCCAGGTCGGAAATTATTAAATAGGGACTCTCAAACTACACCAGGAGAAACAGAATGATAAGAACGCAAATGAATGACAAGATTGGTCAATGAGTCAAAGGCTCTGTCAAAAACAATGAGACTCGTGACTAGACTCGTGGCTACACCAAACATTGACTCATTGGGGTTAAGGGGGCTGGACCAGTGGCCTTTCCACCTCCGTAGGACTGAAACTTGAAAACGTCTATTTGCCACCTCAGTAAGCGCAGTATGAGGTCAGCATCTGAGCCTAGGGCGATTGCCTCATTCAGGTAGTGGCAGTATAAGGAGGAATGCAGAAGACTAAGGCTTGTCATCCGAATTCCAGTTCAATTCCTGGGTGTACAAATATGAAGACTTCATTCCTGCCTTCAGTATAAGTACTTACTGTAGTCCAGAGAGAAGAAAAGGCATAAGAAACATAACCGCTGAATTTCATAGCAACGTGGTTAATGCTAGTTATATGGCCATTTTCAACCTTGTGTGCCTGGAACCTAAGACTGTGCCTTGAAAATATAAAGTGTTCAATAACTACTCTCTGGATGGATAAAGACAGTTTGTAGGGCAACAATAACACGCTGAGAGTTGTAGAACACCTCAAAGAGTCTGTAACTACATATTTGAACTGTTTTGAATGATGAAAAATTCTCTGCAAAGGAGAAATAAATAAGTACCTGAATGTATCCATTTTTCAAGAAATCATTGTTCTTTTTCCATTCTGGATCCACAGCAAAAGTCCGACCCTTTTTAGAGGGGATTTATAGGTAGAATCAAACATCAAAAGGCCCGCTGGGGAAACTATGAAAAGTGTAGTTCACTTGGAATGTGCAAACTCCATTAAAAGCTTCCATCTGTGAATAAATTTCACGAAATCTTTGCGTCTTTTCATATCTTTCACGACTCAGTTTCCTTTTTCTGCAGTTCTGGGGATGGCACCCAGGGCTTTGAGCATGCTAGGCAAGCGCTCTATCTCTGAGCTATATCCCCAACTTCCCTCTCCAGTTTTTTGCTAATGCAGTTTTCTCCTTTGTTCTTCAAGATTACTTACCATCGCAGATGATATAGGGTGGGGAGAAAAGGAGGGTGAGCTATTGATTAAGAGCGCAGTTGACTTTAGTGTCTGACCTATGGGTGGGAAGGTCATACAAACACTACGTGTAATCAGCTCAAGTACCTGTGGCAGCTAGCGAAGCACCTTTTAAAGCTTACGTCCCAATTCATGGATCTTAACGAGGACTCAGGAATGAAAGCGTTAATATTCTCAACGTTTCCACCATAAAGTCACACCCTCTCAAGACGTCTCCTTAGTACTCCGCTCTCGCGATAATATGAAAAAAAGTCTTTTAATTAGCCCCGCCCCCAGCCTTATTAGTTACCAAGCAACGACGCAACCAACCTCCGCAGTGCTGGGAGACTTAGGAGCTGCGGTCTTTCTCCTTCACAGATCCATCTTCCTTCTGGAGCCAGGGACCGCGATTCCGCCTGGAGCCCCGCCCACTAGGTCCTGCAAATTCTCGATTGGCTGATGATTCTCTCCAGGTGAGCGTTGACGCGCGAGTGGGCGGAGCCAGGCCGAACCACGTGATTTGTCGGAGACTGGGGTGCCGGGCCCCTAGCCACAGTCTGTCAGCTCGGGTCTGCAACGTTACTAGGGAAGCGCCAGTGTCGCAGCCGGGAGGGGATCTTAGAAGAGATCGTAGGGTGAGCGACAGCTACGCAACACCTGCAAGTGTCTAAGCGGGCGGGATGAGGGGTCTGCAGTGCGTCGGGATGCGGTGCTGGGTAGAGATGCCTCGCCCTTTCGGGAAGTGCCGGCCGCAGGGCACGTCTGGAGTGCAGATCTATAAGGATCCCGAGCGGCCCCAGCTGCTGTTGGGTTGAGGATTTTTGCCTTCAGTGAAGGAATAGAGCAAGGGCATAGGACCCCATGTATCACGAGCCCCCTTAGTTTCTGGGTTTGGGCTCTCCCACCCTAGTTCATATCAGGATTTAAATTTTATTTTGCAGGTAACCTTGGGGAAGTCATTTACCACCTTTGCACGTCAGGTTTCATCTTTACATTGAGTCCCAGGAGATAAATAGGGAGACAGTACCGAGCAAGGCTTGAGAAGAACACCAGAGGAGAACTTGGGATATGCTATGGCTGTCTCAGGGTCCAGTTACATGTTTTCCTTCAGGGAACGTGTTTGAGATTTTCCCTCATGCTCATCCCTTCCCCTCACCCCCCAAGTCAGAGTCTTACCTTTGGAGTGGAATTACTTTCTTGATAATGAGTTTGATCTATTCTCATTCCCATCTACTCCCGATTCCCACTACTTTTCTCCCTAGTGTTAAAACTAGAATCTGAGGCCAGGAGGAAGCTTGCACAAGCCACTTAATTTGATTTTTACCTCATTTTTTCAATCTATAAAATGGAAAGAAGCAATAGTGGTAATAAAATCTGCCTTATTAGAGGGTTTTTTGGGAAGCATTTCAGGAAATAAGGTATGTAAATGTAAGCTCCTCACTCAGCAAATAAATACAAAGCTCCAGTTTATCTCTTATAGAACAGGAAACAGAGGATGGAAGATATTTGTGACAGGTAACTGTTGACTGGGAGAAACAGGAATAGACTTGGTTCTTGGCCTAGTGTTCTTTTACTTATTCCACACTGCTCCACTGCACTGAGTGTTTTGAGGGACATGTTCTTCCTTCCCTTCCTTTGCATTCTTTTTCTCCCTTTCAGGTGCCTCCTGAAGAGCTACCATGTCTGAGAATTCTTCATCTTCCCCAGTACAGAACAAGAACAGATATGAACCCAAGACTGCTAATCTTCGAATGACAGATAAGAAATGTTGTGAGTTCTAAAAAATATAGTTCTTGGGAATATAGTTGTAATATTAGACTCTGCTGTTTAGTGGGAGTGAGAAATAATTCTTTGATGCTGGAAATTTAAAACAAAATTTTCAGAGAGCAATTTCCTGTCTGAAACAAGTAGACTCTGACCTTCCAGCTAGATTGCTGGTGTGGCCCAGTGGTTTCTTCTTTCTTTTTGAACATCTGTACACTTGCTTAATGCTGGAAGTTGGAGTAAGCATTGTACAAACAGTGAATAAGAGTGGTAAGTTGTAGGAATTACTTGGGGCTGCTACCATCTCAGTTTCCTTTCATCTGTTGGGCTAAGTTCCAAGCAGGTGCTGCTCACTATAGAAACTGCAGGTAGGAGCCAGTGTTACCTTGTGTCACTCCTACAGGCCTCTGGGAAATGAGCCCTGACAAATGATTTCTCATGGTGTCTTGGGCACTTTACCTTCTTCCAGGTTTAGCTATTGTACTTTGCAAACTATTACACAGGAGCATTTCCATGTCAGTCTTTTAGATAGAGATAGCAGGAGGGGCTGCAGGGGGATGAAGTACCACTTCCTGTCCCTTGTCATCTATATTCCTTAGCATTTTATAGACTGCATAGCTGCTCAGAAGTCTGGAACTTTAAGTCACAAGATGTTTCTGGAAACCTCAAGGAATGCTAACTGTATTCTCTGCTTCCAGATTGCACCTTTCCTTTGGAACCCTATCAGTCAGTTTTTCTCACTTCAGTGGTTATATATGTCAGCAGGTGGAAACAGCCGACCAGCAGGAGACCAGGGACTTGTCTCTTGTTCAAAGCTTTCCCTAGAGCCTTGACTTTGATGTCAAGCCCTTGTCAGTTTCATGATTAAAATGATACTGTCTCTTCCCCAGTCACCTGTGAGGCCTGCTGGACAGAAGCAGCTGGTTTGGATGTGATACTGAGGTTGGCACACCTCTGTGATTAGGGTCTCCTTTCTCTGCCAGGGCAGGAAGCCATGTGCCAAGGGCAAAATGCCCCAGGAGAGATAACTAATATAGCATGGTTCTTAAGTGTAACCTCTAGTGTCAATGTCATACTGCCTGAGTTTGAACACTGTTTTTATTCTTTCTTAGCTGTGTGTCCTTGAATAAGTTGCTTTCTCTTTCCATGCCTCAGTTTACTCCTTTTCAAAATGGGAATATCAATAATATCCTCCCGAAGAGTGATGTGAGGATTAAATGAGCAAATTTAGGAAAGCACAAATATAGAAGAATTTTGGACATAGCTAATGTATTATTTTTCACAGGTAACTATCATCCTCTTGGACTTACTCTTTAAAAAAAAATTTGTAGTTTTGCATGGACAGAATGCCTTAATTTCATTTGTTTATTTTTGTGTGGTGCTAAGGATGGAACCCAGTGCCTCACAGGTGCTAGTCAAGCATTCTGCCAGTGAGCTACAGCCCAGCCCCTGGATTTATTCTTTTGAAACATTGTGTATAAATAAAATTATATTCAAATGGTGAGCTGGGGGCTCACCATTTAAAAACAGCCCTGTGAAGAATTATTTTTTTCAGAAAGAATGCTTTCTTATCTTGTTTGACAATATTGTAATTCAGATTTGGTGATCTAGGATGCACTTTTTCTTTTTCTTGTACCAGAGGTTGAACCCAGGGGCACTTAACCACTGAGCCACATCTCCACCCTCTTTTTGTATTTTATTAGAGACAGGGTCTTGCAAAGTTGCTTAGGGCCTTGCTAAGTTGCTGAAGCTAGTTTTGAACTTGCAATCTTCCTGCCTCAGCCTCCCGAGCAGCTGGGATTACAAGCATGCACCACCATGCCTGGTTTAGTATATACTTCTTAAAGGGAGTACACTGGTGTTACTGTGATGTTTGATTCAAAGGAGAGTGGAAACCAGTTGTGGTTTTGCATGCCTATAATCCCAGCCATAGCAATTTAGTGAGACCCTGGTCAAAATAAAAAGGGCTAGAGATGTAGCTCAGTGTAAAGCACCTCTGGGTTCACTCCTCATTAGAGAGCTAGGATGGGAGTAGACAGCTGAATTCGGAGCTAATTACTGTGGGTCTTCCTTTCTTCCTCCCTCCCTCCCTCCCTCCCTCCCTTCCTTCCTTCCTTCCTTCCTTCCTTCCTTCCTTCCTTCCTTCCTTTCTTTTCCAGTACCAGGGATTGAACTCAGGAGCACTGAGTTATATCCCCACCCCTTAACATCCTCAGCTCTTTTTTGTATTTTATTTAGAGATGAAGTCTTACTGAGTTGCTTAAGGCCTTCCTAAATTGTTGAGGCTGGCCTGAACTCTTCATCCTCCTGCCTCAGCCTCCCGAGCTGCTGGGATTACAGGCATGGACCACTGTGCCCGGAAATCATGGGTATTTTTGCCTACATAGAACACCCAGTGTCATTCCTGGCTTTGCCTGATTCTTCACAGGAGCAGGCTTTCCTACCTTTTCTGCAATTTTTCTGCTTTAAGGGCTTTTAATTAAGGAAGCAGTAATCCCAGATTTCTTTTATGATTTTTAGGTTCTCATTCCTGTTCTGGGTTCTTAATTTCTCTTTTCAAGCTCCATTTTCTTTTCCAAACTGCTTTTTCTCCCCAAGTAGAGGTCTCTGGGTTGTCCTAAAGCCATGGTCATTCATGTTGTATACCATGTTCTTTACCTCTCAGTTGGACTGTGAGACTGTGGCACTCACAATCAAGAGAGTAGAATACACCGTTATGAGACTATGCATTAGTTTTTTTTTTTTTTTTTTTCTTTTCCTTTGCTATGTACGGAGACATATGTAAGTTTGATTCTTTTAGACATCTTATTCTGGTGTATTCTATTAATGAAAGTAAGTTCATATCATAAGTATTCTGTTCTGCCACCACATCCTTTTTTTTTTTTAAATATTTTTTTTATTTTTTTTAGTTCTCAGCGGACACAACATCTTTGTATGTGGTGCTGAGGATCGAACCCGGGCCGCACGCATGCCAGGCGAGTGCGCTACCGCTTGAGCCACATCCCCAGCCCATCCACATCCTTTTTAACAAACTTACTATATTATGGACATCTTTCCATGTTGGTAAATTCAGATACAGAATGTACCTTGCTTCAGGTTCCCTGGCTGCTTAGCATTCGTACCAGCAGTTGCTTTATCACTATCTCCACTGTTGTCCCCTTGCTGTTAATTACACTTGTGCTGGCTGAACTTGAGTCTGGGAAGTGACTGGTCTTGAGGACTGAAATTGGGGCTGAAGAATGACTTCAGGGAGCCAGAACCTCCAAAGGAGCATTATTGGGACTTCGGCTGCTCCAGGAATGGCGATTCAAAGGGACTGCTGGTTGAGATCCTTTTAAAATGTTTAATGGCTGCTTTCCTATGCCCCTCCCCGCAATTTTAGGGTTTTCTGAAAACAGGAATAGGGGAATCTACATTTGTTGTTGTTGATTCTTTTAGGTTTTTGATATCTTGAGTAGATCTGGAGCAGACAAATTCATATATGAACCTTTCCCTAAGTAAAAAAGCAGTCCATGTTCATGAATAATCCAGACAACACAGAAAGAAAGTGAAAAGTAAAAGTCTTTTAGAATCGCTCCCATCCCTGCTAAGCTTGATTCTTGTAGACATCTTATTCTGGCACATCCTATTAAAATAGGTTCATACTGTATATATTCTGTTCTGCTGCCATTTCCTTTTAATAAATAAAAATTACTATATTGCAGAATCTTTTCCATGTTGTTAAGTCCAGATTCGCCTCATTCACCATTGTAGGGTATGTAAATTATCTTCAACTTTTCTACTATCACAAAGAATGCTGCAGTGGGCATCCTTATACCTTTGTGCATTTGTGTCAGAAACTTTTCCTGCTAAAATAATAGGAGAAATGGCAGTCACATTGTAGCTATTATTGATAAGTGTTACTAATTTGCTCTCCAAGGAAATTCAGTTTTGTAAGCTGCTTCCAGTATTTCAAGATACTTAATGGAAGTTGGATACGATCATCTATAGCTGCACTGGTTGACTAAAATATCAGTTTCCTTATTATTTGGCTGCATGTAACTTGGCTTTTTTTGTGCCCATCAGTAAAATTACAGGAGATAATCAGGTTTTTGTTTTTTTTTTTACTTCTGATGAATAAAAATTAGATATTACTAATGAAGCAAGCTTTATGGACCCATTTAGAGTGAATGCTGGAAGAAGACCTTGACCATGGAAAGGATAGGAACCCTTGCTCTCCAGATCATTCTTCTAGGTTAGGATGAAGAGAATAGTTATGGTTACCATGTTGGGTTAAGTACTGATAGGAGGCCCAGGAGCTGGGACTAAATGGGAAGTTGTGAGACCTTGAGTCTGGTCTAGAGCCTTGACCTTGACTCTGTATTGTGGAACTGTGGGCAATGCTTCAACTTCTCTGGGCTTGAGTTTTTCTTTGTATATGAGGGAAGTCATCAAGATAACCTTCATCTTTTCTAAGCATGCTTAGGAAGAGAAAATGAGTTTACAATTAAAAAACCAAGTTAAACTGTATAATGGAGACAGATGAGAATTTCAGGAATGAGACAGGTTTCCACTGTCTGTCAAGAGATGGCATTACAGTGTCCCTGCAATGTGAAGTAACTTCCATTCAAATTTAAAGTTGTGTGGGGTGATTTTGTTTTTTTAACATACAGAACAGAATGTTTCTCCTCCTGCCAATGTGGCAGTCTGAGCTAGGAAGTGTGGTTTTATATTTTAGTCTGGAAGGGAGAAGTCCAGGTTATAGTAGGTGTGTGAGTGTGTTCTGAGCCAAGGCAGAAGGGGAGGTGCTGAGGGCAGGGTGTAGAGTCCCTGGGGGACTGTGTTCTTTTGTTCTTAGTATTTTCTGTCCAGCCTGATAAACAATGAGCAGCTGGCTCCCTGGTTGCCTTCTGAGTCGCTGGTAAGTATCAGACCATTTTAAGCTTTGGGGAGGCTAACAGGACCTTTGGGGGAAGAGCCTAATGGGCTGGAAGGTGTGGACGAAGCAATTCTGGAAACGCAGCTAATGAACCAAGTCAGGGGGGATTGAGAAGAGTGTGCACTCAGCTGGAGAAAGTGAAGACCCAGGGGATTTGACTACTTGAACCTGAGGTAGCTAATGCCAGGCAGAGTACATATGCTTGTTAGGGGTCAGCTGTTTGCTTACCTTTGGGCTCCCTGTTTGGACAGAGATGAAAATCGCCTTAGCTGCTCCATTACCTACCTGGAGGGATACTCCTGCCTAGAGTCAGGAATTTCGACACACCCAGAAGAGAAAGGGCTAAAAACCCAACCTGTGGGTGCAGAGTCCATGGTCATTTCTTTTGCTGGGTCCTTCTACCTACTTCTCAGTTGAAATCTTTTACCAGTTCTTTCTCCAAAGGTGAAAGATGCAATTCCTGAGCAAGTACCCCTATTTTACTGAATAGTTTCTTAGCCTGACAGGATCATCTTGTTCTTGCAAAGAAGCAGCCACAATTTGCAGAGACCCTTCTGGAAAGTCGTGCTGGGAAGCAGAAATTTCCATTTCCTGCCACCGTTGGTTCAGAGTCTTTTCCCATCTGAGCTGGAAGAGCTTGGGGCCTCCCCCTCCCCAAGACCTCAGATTGGGTCTTGGCCCCAGGAAAGGGGCTGCAGCAGTACAGGTTCCTCCCAGCTCTCCTCTGTGGCAGGATGGGCGGGGAAGAGTATGACCTGTGAGCAAGCTAAGGATGGGCCTCTTTTTATGGAGAAAAGCTGAAGAGAGAGCACAGGATCTGGATTCCAGTGCCAGTTCTACCCTTGACTCATTATGTGTCCTTAGGCAAGTCACCTGACCTCTGAGCATTTAAAATGCCCCACCTATATAGTGAGACTTTTCTCTGTAAGTGAACATAAGTTCATTCATGAAATAAGTTAATTTACTAAGAAAGGATTGTTCCTGCTTTTCAATTGTCTTGCATCTGAGTCAAGCTGACCCAGATGCCCTAGTGAATTGGCTCTAGCATGAAGCTTCCAGAGATCTCTTCAAACTTATATCAAGTAGGCTTTTCCTACCAGATCTCACTTAGAAATTTCAGTTTAAGGAGGACAAAACAGGCAGGCGAGCAGTTGGCAGGGTAATGTTTTGCCTGTGGCTTTGAGGGAATGGATGGGATCCTCAAGATAGAAACTCTGTCCTAAAAGCCTGCCAGTTGGGCATTGATAAAATCACAGCTCTATCATTTTTATGTTGCTAGGCAGTCTCATGTTAAGAAGGGTGCTGTGGTTACTCTCCACTTTAGATATTTCTATGAAAACCTTAGGAATATGGGAAAGACATTCCTTGGTTTGGGTACTTTCTGGAAATCTGTGTGACCTTTAACTTTATTTCAGGAGGATCTGCTCAATACATTCTTACTTTGCCTTCCCACTCCTGCTGGACCTTTGCTCCACAAGTTTAGGATGATTAAATAAGATTATGAGCTGGGCATGGTGGCACATACCTGTAATCCCACCCACTCTGGAGATTGAGGCAGAAAGGTCACAAGTTTGAGGCCAGCCTCAGCAATTTAGTGAGACTCTGATCAACTTAGCAAGACCTATCTCAAAATAAAAAAGAACCGGGGATATAGCTCTGTGATAAAAAACACTCCTGGGTTCAATCCCTATTACCAAAACAAACAAAGAGTATGACTGAATTTTTCTAGACTAGTGCATAAACCTTATGTTTTATGTTTTTCTCATTTCCTTCTAGCATGGGCCTCCTACATGACCAACTCCCCGACTCTTATTGTTATGATTGGTTTGCCAGCCCGGGGTAAAACCTATGTGTCTAAAAAGCTTACACGCTACCTCAACTGGATTGGGGTGCCTACCAAAGGTAGGTGCAAGTCATTCCTTGGGAAGTGAATGATTAGTTCCTGGGCCCCACTCACTTCTGGGAGACTTAGGCTCTCTTAAGGCATTAAGGTTATTAGGTGCTTCTGGGAGAAATAGTGGTTGCTTTCTCATTTATTGGATTCTCTTTCCCTGGACTTGTCTCCTCCTGGCCTGGATGAATTGGCCCAGTTTTGAGAGAAAGCCTTTGAGAGGTTTATTAAGAATTCAGTGAGAATAGGACTTTCCTTTTGTGAAATCCTTGCACATGCATTATGTTATCTAACCCTAGAAGTATCTTTGTGAAATAGAAAAACACAGAAAGCTGAAATTCAGACAGCTTAAGACTTGTCCCAAGATCTCCTAAATCAGGACCTGAACCCAACTGTTTTGACTCTTAATATCATATTGTCTCCAAATACCATGGTACTTTTTATTTTCAACTCCTTGGCTACTCTGACATTAGGCCAATGTCCTCTTTGGTGGGGCGATGATACTGATTTGCTGCTGAAGGATTTGGGTCTCTTCTGCAGTGTTCAATCTTGGGGTTTATCGACGTCAAGCAGTCAAGTCCTATAAGTCCTACGACTTCTTTCGGCATGACAACAAAGAGGCCATGAAGATCCGCAAGTGAGTCTTTTTTTAAGAACTGACTCCCAGGTCAACTCTTGCGGCCATCATGAGACTGAATGTAATGGGGCTTGTTTTTTCTCAAAAAGTATCTTGTGGGTATTTTAAGTGGAAGTTATTTGATAGGCAGATCACCTTGGGCTTGTTGGGTAGAAAAACAGGTCTCAGGGAGATGGTTGTAGGCTTGCCTAGCAAGAGAAGATACATGTGTTGGGGCACAAAGGAAGGTATAAGATGATATAAAAATTTAAAAGGAGCCAGGCATGGTGTCACATGCCTGTCATACCTGGGATTCGAGACCCAGGCAGGAGGATGGCAAATTGAAAGCCAGCTTCATCAATTTAGCAAAGCCCTGGGCCCTAAGCAACTTAGCAAGACCCTGGCTCAACATTTAAAAAAGGGCTGGGAACTTAGCCCAGTGGTAAAGCACCCCTTGATTCAATCCCCAGTACCCCCCACCAAAAAGAAAAAAAAAAACAACTTAAGTGGAGGAAAAAGATCAAATTAAGGAAACAATTTGACCAGAGGGAAACTAAGTGGGAGGAGATGAGATTCCTGCAGCAATCCCACTGTATGTGTCCTCCACTGTGTTTGAGCTTAGCTCTTCTTGCTGATTTTCTTTGCTCTCATGGCAGACATTGTGCCATGGTGGCCCTGGAAGACGTTAAGACCTATCTGACTGAGGAGAACGGGCAGATTGCGGTGAGCTCTGTGGTTTCCACCCTGTCGGCAGCTGAGCTCTCAGTCCCACCTTGGGTCTGCCTTGGTGTGGGGCTCCATTTCTCTGTCTCCATTCATTTACCTCATGTGTTTTCTGCCCAGGTATTTGATGCCACCAATACTACCCGGGAGAGGAGAAAAATGATTTTGAACTTTGCCGAGGAGAATTCCTTCAAGGTAGGATCTGACTCCATGGTAGATTAAAGGGATGAGTAGAGGCGGGGCATTAGGATGGTGTGTGGATCTGTTTGACTCTGGTGAGGATGGGATTGGATATCTGATTCTCTTCTCTTGGGGTATACCCCCGATCCTTGAGTGTTTTCTTTCAGGTCCTTTCTCAGACCTTTAGCCTGTATGTTTGAGTCCCAGGGGATGTGGTAAGAGCTATTTTAAAATGAGGAGGCCTTGAAGGATTTTCATGAAGAAAATCCTGGAAGATGTGGTGGCTGGGTGGGGTAGGAGCATGTGCTCTTAATTAACAGCTTGGTATTTTTGGCTTGTTTATAACTGCCTTCTCTCCATGGCCAGGTATTCTTTGTGGAATCTGTTTGTGATGATCCTGATGTCATCGCTGCCAATATCCTGGTGGGTGACACCCCTATGTTTCACCTCTTTCTCACCTTTGTGGCTTGTGTATATATGTGTGTATGTATGAGGAAGGGTAGTGATAGAGAGAAATAGAAGTGTTAAATGTCACAGAATGATCTCTTTTCTCTCTCAGAGAGAAGTGCCATTTTGTATTTCCATATTGTTCCTTAGGGAGAAAAAATAGGCTTTGTGAAATAAAATAAGAATTAGCTGCTGAAAAGAGACCTAGTCTTAGACTGTGCAAGTCCTGGCTTGTGTTCTGTTATTATCTGGGTTCTGAGACCTAGATATTATCCTGGATCAGACTTTTCATTATCTGTTAGGGCTACCTTACAGGAATGTCATCTGCCCCGAAATTATCTAATATTCTGGTCAGCATTCTATACACCTAGCTCCTCGTGCCCTGTGCCCTGTGGGGTCACAGCACAAGACAGTCCTTATCCAATGGGTTGTGTCGTGCTGTGCCAAGTCATCATCTGACATGCTCTCCCAGCAATGTCAGAACTGGGGTCATCTGAGGGAGAGGCACTGGGTCCCAAGTCAGGCACTGGGCCACACTGGGCCTCTTCTGAGTGGCAGTGGGAAAAAATTGGAGTCCATTCTGTTTTCCCAGGAAAGTACATAAGGGATTGGGCCCAGGAGCAGTGTCAGCTGCGTGACTGTCTCTGTCCTTCAGCCAAGGGCAGGCACATGACTCCCCAGTTGTCTTTCCCTTCTTGGTTGCCAGGGTCACAGGACTAGGGAGGGAATGCTCAGTGAATGGAGAGTGCCACCACTCCAGTGAAAGGCTACTTTTATGGACCTCTTTTTCTTTTCTTAACAGTGGCTATTTGTAGGAGGGCTGTTAAGGGCAGACCTCTGACAAGACCCTTACTATTCCTTTGATTTCAGGAGGTAAAGGTGTCAAGCCCTGACTACCCTGAAAGGAATAGGGAGAATGTGATGGAGGACTTCCTGAAGAGGATTGAGTGCTACAAAGTCACCTACCAACCCCTTGACCCAGACAACTATGACAAGTGAGGTTTTAAGGCCATGGTTAGAAGGCCCTGAAGAAGGGGTCTCATTAGGAAAAGAGCCTTTCTCCCTCTGCCCCCTAACTTCCTCCTAGACTTGTAAATGTTATATTATTCCTAAGAAACAAGGTGTAGATTGTGGCTTTTATGTGAGTTGCATTTTAAACACTGACTTTTTTTTATCATTAATTTTTCCTCTCTATTCTCTAGAGCAAAATTTTTTGCATCTCGGCATTACTGACATTGTGAATGGGATAATTTTTTGTTGTGGGGTCTGTCCTATCCATTGTAAGATATTTAGCTACTTCCTGGGCCTCTGCTGACTAGATGCCAGTAACATCTTCGAGCTGTGACAACCAAAAATGTATAAAGACATTGTGAAATGTCCCCTGGGAGACAAACCCACTTAAGAACAACTCCATATCAGTAGTTCTGAACTGGGGTGTTACAGGACATCCTGGGACATGTGTCATCATTTTTTATCAATTTTAAATGTTTATTATATGAATTATGTAATGTGAAATATGTAATATGTATGTTAATACATATGCTAATATCACATGTAATATAACACATATATAATATTGTACACATTATATTTCGCACATATAAAATGCATGTAAAGCCCTCAGAACGTTCCTGATTTAGAAATATCTGACTGATACTAACCATCATTACTATAGCAATGTCTATTGGTGAGGTGATAAAGAATATAGATGAATTCACCAAATGTAAAGTATGGGAGCCATAGCGAAATGTCAAGTTCATGTTGAAGAAAAATAGTGTACACATGGAAACCTGGGGGAATGTTTCCTTGTGAAAGAGTGTGCATTCAGGGCAGTTAACGGGCTCTATTCAAATAAGGATACAGCCTTGCAGCCAAGCAAATGATGAGACCAGTGTGCCTGGGACACCATTAAATTGCTGCAGTGGTCTGTTTAATGTTTTGAACAAGTGTACATATTTATAGATTTTATCTCTGGTCGTAGGATATTGGGTGATTTCTATCATTTTTGGCACTAGGGTTTGAACCCGGGGACACTCTACCACTGAGCTACATCCTTGGTCCTTTCTATTTTTTTATTTTGAGACAGAGTCTTATTTAGTTGCTTGGGGCTTCACTAAGTTGCTGAGGCTGACCTTGAACATGGGATCCTCTTGCCTCAGCCTCCTGAGTCCCTGGGATTATAGATAAGCACTGCCATGCCCCACATCACTCTATTTTTTTCTTAATTTTTAAAATAAGCCCTATTACTTTTATATTGAGAAAAATCTTATGATGGCCACAAAGCAGGCCATTTTCAGCACTGGCTCTGAGAGAGGCTTAATTAGGTAGATGGAAGGCGTGGGTAGGTTTCTCTGCCTGTGATTCTGCTCTCCTCCCCTCCTCTCATTTTTGGTGGCACCATATTCTTACCACCCCAGAGGGGGACTGTGCTTCTCAACAACTTTGAGGCTTAACAAACTCTTTAGGTCACCTGGTCTAGTGCCTTATGGGAAGCCTGAGTTCTGTTTGCCTTACCCATTGTATGGCACAGTTCAGGTGTGTACCACCCTGCCCAGTTCCCCTCCCCAACCTTACTTATTCTCAGATTGTTTTACCCTAGAAGTTTTGTTTTCCTTCCCTGTCCCAGGGATCTTTCTTTCATCAAAGTGATAAATGTGGGCCAGCGTTTTTTAGTCAACAAAGTCCAGGACTATATCCAGAGCAAGATTGTCTACTACCTCATGAATATTCATGTCCAGCCTCGCACCATTTACCTTTGCCGGCATGGAGAGAGCGAGTACAATCTCTTAGGAAGGATTGGGGGTGACTCTGGCCTCTCTGTGCGGGGAAAGCAGGTGAGTCATTAGCTAGCTAGCTAGATTTCCTAGGCTTAGAATTAGAAGGGCATGGTGGAGGTCATCTATTTTATCCCTGTATTAAATCCCATTTGGGCTTAGGCTGTGGTTTCAGATGGTCAGGCAAATGCTCAAGATGTTTTCTTGCTCATGGCTCCAGCTTCATGTTAAAGTATGGTTAATTTGGAACTATCTCCACTGTGATCATTCAGCCATTGAATAACTATTGGGCATGACTTGTATACTTAGCACAGTACAGGGTGCTCCTGTTCAGGTTCATTTCCTCTTGGGTTTACATTTTGATCATGGTTCAACAAATTGCCCCTTTATAGGCTGAGTTAGCAGTGCGTGTGTGCTTTGTATGAATGTGTGTGTGTATGTGGGTGAGTATATTGAGTATGTGTATGTTTTCTTTTTTTTATTTTTATTTTTAAACCCCAGTTTTCCCAGGCTCTAAAGAAGTTTCTAGAGGAGCAGGAAATAAAAGACCTTAAAGTGTGGACAAGCCAGTTGAAGAGGACTATCCAGACTGCTGAGTCTCTTGGAGTGACCTATGAGCAGTGGAAGATTCTGAATGAGATTGATGCTGTGAGTGGAGTCTCTCATTCTGGTGGAAATTCTCAGGAGTCATGATTTGGGCAGTTTTGTCTAGAAACTAGAACCACCAAGTAAAAACTTTGAGGAAGCTGAATCTGTAGCCATTTGGGGGGGATTGGGGGAGGAAATGTGGAACACCCCTCAGGGCTTCCTGCCTACTTAAAGATCAGTGCCAACGATGGGACCCAAACCAATGTTTGACCCAACCATTCTGGTACCTGGGGAGACAGGGGCTAATAGGACTTGTTTTGTTCTCTTGTGTGATTTCCTCCTGGGAAAAAGAAGTAGCTAATAACCCAGTTTTTATTTTTAATTTCTACTTTGATCATTTGATCAGCTATTCTCGGAAAGTCCTTCCCCAGATTTTTCTTGGCTTTTTCTAACCCTGAACACAGAAGTAAACATTAATTTTTCCTTCCCTCCTCTCTACTAATTTATTCCTCCTTCAAGTTCTTCAATCTCATCAGTGTCCCTCTTTCCCTGCTTCCTGTTCCTTTTAATCTGTTGACTCTTCTTGACCTTTACATTCCCCACAGAAGTAGGAGAAAGTGACAGCTTTCTCTCTGCTGTGGCTCCCATCCATGGTGCCCGTGACACCCTGGTTACAGTCAGCTGCAGTCCATGAAAGGACCCAGCATAGGGCCTGACACATAGTAAGCAATCGGTGTTCTTCAGTGGCGTCTTCTTTCTGTGGGATAGGACAATGTGGGCCAGTCCACCTCCTCAGCCAGTGTGGCTTCTTGCAGGGCGTGTGTGAGGAGATGACATACGAAGAGATCGAGAAGCAGTACCCAGAGGAGTTTGCTCTTCGAGATCAAGACAAGTATCTGTATCGCTATCCTGGCGGGGAGGTGAGACTTCTCATGTGGAGTAACGACCCAGCCCTTTGCTGGTGGGGGGATAGCTTTAATTTGGAGAATGGATTGATGTGATCGTAGGGAATGTACAAAGGCAGCCTAGCCATCATTTACCTTCTAACCTTTGAGTCATCCTGTGTTTAATTCAGCTCAGGCAGTCCAATGCCTCATTAATTTGTTAAGATCTCTAGAGAAAAGAGTCAAAGATGTCCGTTGAGTCGAGAATACTATGGAATCAATCTGATCTTTTTTACTCCTTTTTTTTTTTTTCCATTCTGCTCCCTCAATCTCACCACTACCCAAGTGGGTCTAGTCACCAAGTAAATATATGGGGCATGAATTACTTCTCTGTCATCTTTAGTGCATTAGACTGTTTCTTTTTCTAAGTGGCTTCATACTCTAGAACGTTCAAGGCAAAAATAAATAAACCAGAATGGCAGAGGTCCAGGAAACTTCTAGAAGACTCTCATTGCCTTACACTCTGCCTATTAGTCATGGGAACTACAACAACAAAACACACACATGCAAGTTGAATTCAAACTTTTCGTAACCTGTGATTTTCTTGGTCTCAATATTGCTATTTAAAGATCCAAGAAGTATTCTTAAGATTCGGGCAGGGGTGGAGGTGGGCAGTGGCATTTAGTAAGCAAAATGGAGTCACTGAGCCTCCAGGAGGAGAGCCAGCCTGGGCAAGAAGTGGCCTCTTGACTCTGGGATTCAGCCACTGGCCTGGCTGCCAGCTTGCACCTGGCCTCTTACCAGCCTGCTCCACTTGCCCCCACAGTCATACCAGGACCTGGTACAGCGGCTGGAGCCTGTCATCATGGAGCTGGAACGTCAGGGCAATGTCCTTGTCATCTCCCACCAGGCTGTCATGCGATGCCTCCTGGCCTACTTCTTGGATAAGGGCGCAGGTGCTATTTGAGGGAAAGGCTGGGGACACATCTATGGGGAGAGAGCCTGGCTCATAGTGGCACCAGGATTCCTGGCAACTGGGCCTCCCCCTCTTCCACTCAAACTAGAGTACATTCTTCAGGCAGTGGTGTGGGGCTCCCAGCAGCCACTGGGTCAACTGTGGCTGAATTCACTCCACTATTACAAAAGCCCCGGTGGAAGGTGGCTGCTGCTGGTGCTGCTTGATTCTAACTGCTAAGGGGCCAGTGTCCTGCTAACACTCCTGGCAGTATCAGGAAAGTGACTGAATAGTCCCAGCTTGTCACTCTGGCTACTAGGAAGGTGGTATCTTAGAAGTATCTTCATCCTTTGAGTTGGGGGTGGGCAGCTCTTTCCAGGTAAGAATAGTAAGGAAGTGCTGTTTCCTTTTCTGATCCTTCCCTTCTCAATCCCTTTGAGCCACCAGAAGTCTGCAGATTGGCCTTTGGGTATCCAAATGGACCATAGTCTTCCTTCCCATGGGGCTTTGGGCATGGCACTTACTCCTGTTTTGCCTGCATGGAAGAAGCTGAGATGGCCTTATTTCCTTCCTTACCACTCAGAAGAACTGGGTGGCTTCTTAGTCCTGATCACTGTGTGGGGCTTAGGGAAGGAGCTGTACAACTCTAGGTGGTGGTCAGGGTTGAAGACTAATGAGTTCAGAAAAAAGTCACAATTACTCCATGATGTAAGACACTTCCCTCATCCAATCTTTCTGCTTTCAGATGAGCTACCATACTTGAGGTGTCCTCTCCATATCATCCTCAAACTCACTCCTGTGGCCTATGGTAACTATGAGCTCAGGGACTGGCAAGAGGTGGGGATTGAAGAAGGTCAGATGTTTGGGTTTTCTCTGAAGATTGTCCAGAAATTTGAATGCATCACGTCCATATGTCAGGGACATAGCATTAACATTTTGCATTTTTAAGGGCATGTATGTATAAGTGTGTGTGTTGGAGAGTTTGTTTTCCTGTGTGGAAACTGAGGAATTCTCCTTTGAGCTTTCTCCTGAGGGCCTTTCTTTCCCTTGTTTCTCAGGGTGCAAAGTGGAAACGATTACGCTCGGAGTGGAGGCTGTGAACACTCACCGTGAGAAACCGGCTGTAAGTATTTTCCCGTGGACAAACCTGCCAGGTTCCCACCTCCCTGAATCCTTGAACCTTTGACATAAAGAGATTGGGGTTTCTTTTATGTACAAAAGAAAAGCTGATCCAGAATTCATGGCCTCCATAGTCTGCTTCTAAAAGGCAACCATATGGGAACTATGAATTTTTAAATCGGTACCTCTTTCATGAATCTTAACCTTGAAAGTTGGCTCCTAGAAATTCAGTTAAATATGGGAAGTGCTTGGCTGAAGTGAAATCCAGACTCCCCGCCCCAGGAAGGCTCCCTTTAAAGAGCAGGGTTCAGAGGAGCTGGAAGGTGGGGTCAGCAGGTTGAGGTGGGTTCCTGCTCTGCCCCTGTGATTTGTGTGGCCTTAAGTAAACCCCTTTTTTTGGTGGACCCCTTTCTGGTTCTGGGATCTGATGATCAGGGAGCTTTCCTCCGCTGTGACCCTTTGATTCCCCTGGGGCCAGGAGACCAGGCCACGTCCTGTGTGAGGCCAGAGGAACAGGAGGAAGGAAGCTGCTGTGGTTTCGAGCGTTATTTAACCTTTGTGAGTGAGCTTCTGGCGTGGCTTTCATTTGTGTGGTGTCCCTCCATTTCCAATCAGAACAACCTCCCCAAGAACCAAACCCCTGTAAGGATGAGAAGGAACAGCTTTACGCCTCTGTCCAGTTCGAATACAATAAGGCGTCCGAGAAATTACAGTGTTGGGAGCCGGCCCCTCAAGCCCCTCAGCCCTCTCCGTGCCTTGGACATGCAAGAAGGGGCCGACCAGCCGAAGACCCAAGTCAGCATTCCGGTGGTGTAACCGTGTGTTTCCCTTTAGCCCTGGCCTCCTGCCCTTGTCACTAATCTCCAAGGAGTCATTTAACTTCCACCGCCACCCCTTCCCTCAACACCTCACCATTATTCTTAACCCAGAATATGAGGTCACACATGTACAGGCCAACTCTAGTCGTTCTCCAGTTGGAAATAGCTCCTCATCCAGGGGCAGGATGGCAAGTTGGGTCTTTTAGGATGGGATGGTCTGGAGAAGGAGAAAAAGGACACATTCTCCCTGGGGGCTAAGCATGCCTCATAACTTGGTTCTTTGTTCTCTGGTGTCTAACCTCACTCATATCCTAGCATTGGTGAAGTGGGGATGGTGGTGAGTGAAGGGAACCAGGAAAGCCCAGTTTTCCTTCACCTTGTCTCTTTAATGTGTATTTAACTCACAGTCCTTACTTAACTATCTCTCATTTTCATCTCCCCTCTGGATTGTCTAGTATAATGCATGACATTGTAGTGTCTGTCAAAGAGGGAAGGGGCAGTTGGTGTGGGAGAAGTCCAGGCCCCAGTGGTGTTTTCTAGTGGGTCTAAGTGGATCTGGACTGGAGGAGTCTCTCCTTTCCCTTCTCCTTCCTCTCTAGCCAGGTCCTGAAAGGGCCAGCCCAGGTTACAGAACATCCACAGAATGCTCTGGAGCTTGCAAGTGGACATAGGGTGAGAGTTCTTATCTCTTTTCACGAGAAACAATCCTATGTTTTTGATGCCCTGGGGGAACCTGGCCCTGGGGATGTGGGACACATCTTGGTTTGTATTTTTACCTAGAAGAGCCAGGGGTAGTCCTTTGCTGGCTGTGGAGTGGGGTTCAGGAGAACAGGGTGGTCTCTAATCCTTGTGGGCCTCTCAGTTCAGCCAGATCTTTTTTCCTGTGGCTTTCAGGTTCTTTGCCAATCACAGCAACTTTCCTGCCACAGCCAGTGACCTCTGGGGCTTTTTAGAAGGATGGAGTTAGATTCTGGAGTCACCACTGATGTCTGAATCACTCAAAACAAAAGGCAGAGAAGAGCTCACTCCAGTTCACCAAAGCTGCTTATTATTTTCCAGTGATTTCCAGCATACCCCTAAAGTTATTATTATTATTATTATTTTAGCAGGAGAAATTTTTTTCCAAGTGTGGAAAAGCTTGATGATGAACTTAATCTCTCTTCTTGGGGCATTCTTTTGTTCATAAGGAGAAATTACCTTGACATTTTGAGAATTTCATGCAGTCTAGCTCTTTCTTGACTATTCTAATTTATCTATTCATTTTTGTCATCTCATTTTCTTTGTAGGGTTTGAAAGGAATTGTTTAAAGAAGCCCCTTGATAGCATATAATTGTTTTCCTTCGATCTCAATTTTGTATACAAAATAGATGAATGTATATATGTACATTTTTCTGAGAGACAAATCTAGAGTTCTCGTGGGATTTTTAAGATAGGTGATCCCCTGCCTATCCATTTACATTTTAGAGTTAGCGGTGGGAACAAGTTAACTATTTCCCAAGGGTTTTTGTTTTGTAATAGAAAACCTTTCATCATGGTTCTCACCCAGGAACCTTCCTTGGGGTCTCCTTTATAGCTTTGGAGACATACACAGGCCTGGGTCCATCTGAGTCAGGCTGAATGCTGACTCAGAAACTGGAGTTGAAGTCTGGACACATGTGTGTTTAAATAGCTTCCCTGATGATTCTGATTCATACCCAGGGTGTTCCACCTTATGAAGTAAGTGGAAACATACTAGATAGTAGTTTCTTGGACAAAGGACCAACCTTGGCATTCTGAATTCCTCTTAATTCTAAAAGTCAGTTCTTTGGAGTTCAGTATTGGAGCCAATCACCGAAGTAAGTGAAGCAGGCCTCTCAGTCAGGCTGCTGTGCTTTAGAGACTTACTGTGGGTTCTAGTTTCACCTTTCACCCTTCACGTTGTGCAGTGATGTGGAACAAACCTCTAAATGACCTTGAATAAAAGCTGGGTTTCCAAGCACCCTGGAGAGAGGTCCTGAGGTACAGTCTGTAAGATGAGGAAGGTTGTCTCCACCTTGAGCCCTTCACTTTTACATTCCAAGTAGAATACCACAGCTGCTTTCCAAAGGCTGCTGGCCTAGCGTCTTCTCAAAATTGTGTCTAAGACATAAAATTACCTGCTCTTCCTGTCAAGCTGTTGCACAAGGTCTGTAGTAGTGTCTTTGTGGGGCTTGGAGCTGGATGGGGGAAGAAAGAACAGAAATAGAAAAAGAAAGGTCCTTGTCCTCAAGAAGGTTACTTTAAGAGACAGGGCATGTAATTTACAGCAAATGAACATTCACAAAAGAGCCACACACTGAATCTAGAAGTGCTGATGTGCTGTGGACTACAGATTGCTTGTGACTGTTCCCTTTTCCAATGGCTGTGAGACCAAAAATGTTAGGGGATAGAAAGGCTCCGTCTCCCCAGTGTGAGAAGGAAAGCCTGGGAGGTATGTGTGGCTCTTTTACAGGGTTGCCTTTTCTAATTTGGTTGGCATGATGGCAACTTTAGCCCAAATGGTTATTCGATCTATTCTCCTGCTGTGAGGTGACAGTAATTTAGAGATAATAAATGAGAAGAGGGAGAACTTTGATCTAAAGATGAGAGATTTAGATGGCACCTCCTCTTAGGTACAGGGGCCTTCTCTGACTGACTAGCATTGTGTTAGCCTGTTATAAACACTGTCATTAGAGACAGGTCACTGGATGTTCGTTTTGGCACTCCTTCTGCTGATAATACTTCTAATCTTCCCCTGTGTTAGTTTGCTATTCCCAGAGGAGTAATGGAGGTGACCTTATCCTCACATAGGACAGGGGAAGTTAGAATTTGAAAACAGCACCAGTTTCAACATCCTTTGATTTCTGATCCCTTCAGAGATGTTCACAAAAGAAGTCAAGAGAATATAGAATTGAATAGAGCTCTTCGGGATTTTAGGGAAGTTCTACTTCCCATCTTTTTTTTCTATTCTTCTTCCCCTTGTTACTTGAAATGTATATTGGTAGTAGATACCTGTTACTCTGCTTATGTCTATATCACAAGTTCTACAAAGAAAGGATGGACTCCAGGGAACCCTTTGCTGAGGTTTTAATTGTTGCCATGGGGGAAATAGGTGAGACTTTGACATTTGATCTACTGGTATAAAACCGGGAAATGAAAACCATATTTTGTTTTTGTTAGTTCCAAGCTGAATGAGGATGTCTGTAACAGATTTTTGAAAGGATTTTGTTGCAGATTCAGAGAACCCACTTCTCTTCTGTTCCTACTTCCTAATTTCCAAATTGGAATTTAGTTCTTATTTATTATCAATAGTGTCCTTTTTGTTTTGGTAATGGGCTGGTTTTACATCGAATTGGAAAGTAGAATAAAAAATCTTTTTCAAATAAGAAAACCTTTTAAAAGTCTTTTTAATCTTAAGATTTTAAATCTTTAAAAAATCTTTTATATGCAGTGTGCTAGGGAATTGCCCTATGTCATTGTGTCTGGGTTTTATTTTTGTTTCCCAAAAAATTGGAGTAGAGGATAAGATGTATTTGTACTCCTGGATGGAATGGTTGAGTGTTTCTTGTGAAGATCTGATAGACCTTACAATCCACATTTGATCTTCGGATGCACTGGTATTTGAAGAAACATGATATATACCTGTTTGCAAATAAATCCATCTTTGAGGTTTTCTGGGAGCAGGAGATCTGAATTCTAGAGTTCGCATTGGTGCTTGGGGTGGCCAGTGGACAAAGGGAAACACGTCCTGGGTGATGAAATCTCATGCACATTCCACTATCCTAGCCAAGCCCAGAAACCACTGTATCTGTTGTCAAGAGGTTTGATAGACGTACCCAGCTTTTCTTATATGTATTTTGACTTTTTGTGTGTGTTTTAAAATGTTTTATTTTAAAAATACATAGTCACATTGTCATGGTAGATCCTTGCCTTTCCCTAAAGATGACATAGACATCAGAAGTGTGTCCAGGAATTTTGTTTAGACTCTTGGTGTCCCTAAGACTATTTCTAAAGGGGTCTGTGCCGACTGACTGTGGGCTCTGATAGGGTCTGCAGGCTGACAGTCTTCTCGGTTTTCTCATTGTACTGTTTTTCAGTATGGTAAGTTATTATAATTGTCTATCTGTGGCACATGTCCTGCAGAGAAAGGAACTAAACACTGTACATTTTCTTTATGGGGAAGTTCTGTGTGCTATAATTTTTCAAAGACATTTCTTATGTAATAGTGGTCAAATTCTCACAGTGTTTATAAAGATGATGGTTGTATGGTGTTTTGTGAACTCAGATAAGGGAATGCCTAGTCAGAATCTGAAGTTGTGATTTCTACTTGAAGTCATCTTGTCCAGTCCCCTGCTTCAGAGTAAGACTTTTCTTTCACTATCTATTCCTGAATCTTCTGTCCTCAGCTTATCCTATTAAGGAATGTAGCATTCTATTGAAGAGTGTTATTGTTTTCAATCTGCCATGCATTTGGCTTTTATTCCTAATATAATAAATGCAAAGGAAATTTGCATTCAGAAACTGATTTTAAATGGGCAAAAGTATTCTTTCCCATAAGTCTTTCACTGGGTATCTGTGGCCAACATTTACATACTATTTTTGTATCTGAATTGCTTGTATACATTTTTATTGTTGTTGAAGTAACAAAATCAACTCATTGTAATACAGTGATGGTTTTCTATGGCAAAAGCAAAGAACTGAATGCCACCCTCTTTGGAGGGGACTAGGAGTGGGGCTGAGCCCCATGGGTTTGAATGGAAATGGGCTGGGCTGGGAAACCCAGGAACAGAGTTCTACTGTGGACTTCCCAGGCACAGCTTCTATTGAACATAGGAGCATTAATCTCTAGCACCATTCTGATTTAATCTGGTGACATGATGACATGAGTTTTTACTTAGATCCACTAAAGGTGTATATAACTGTATTGGAAATGTGCTTGTGTGTGTGTGTGTGTGTGTGTGTGTGTGTGTGGAATGGGTAAATAAAATTGTTGAGTAACTTGAACCTATCAAAAGGCTTCTGGATTTTTTGTTTTGTGTTTTGGGCTATGTCCCCACCCACACCCTCTAAAACTTCATTGTATGCTGAGAAGACTTGGGCAGACCAACGTAGGTTCTCAGTGCGACTATAGACAAGACTCTCTTTCACTACCTTTTAGGGACGATGGGAAAGACATGGGAAGCGCATAAACTTGGGTAGTCATGTACACCTGTTGGTACCTATGCAAGAATTAAGGGAAAATTACTCTCGACCCTATGGTGCTGTGACTCCTACTAACAACATGTAGCTCATATTACTTATTAAAAAAAAAAAAAAACTTGAGATCTTTTACAATTTAGTGTCTGTTGCTTTTAAAATATACCCCACCTATTTTTAAAGAGATTAACAGCCAATGGTAAAAAATGGTTATTTAACAACTTCTGAAACAGGAACTAGAGCTGAAATTGTTTTTGCTATTCTCATGCCTTATTCCTTATTACTCTAAGAAGGGCCACAAGCTCATTAGAAATGCAGAGTCTCAGGCCCCCGAATCAGACCTTCATTTTTACAGGATCACCAGGCACATTTAACATTTGAGAAACATTGTTCTAAGGGGAAGAACTCCTCACAAGGTAAAACATTGAATCCAAACTTAGGGGAAAAAGTTGATCTGCTCTGATCACTGACTTCAGAATGGCCTGGAGTAACTACAATGGTAGGGAACCTCCTCAGAAGCCAAGTAGCCTCTGACTGCAATGTCACTTTTTTGGCATGGTCTTTGGCTGAAGTAGGCTGCATACTCTCTTTTTTGCCACAGGAATCCTGACCACTTCTGCTTCATATCTTAGGTATGTAGCTTATGGTCCAGGTCTGCAAGGAGCACCTGGCCCAACATGGTTACAAGGTCAGCTTCTCAGGGAAAGAAGCCCTTGCCTATGCCATTAGAGTTTGTCTGACTCCTCAGAGTGCAGGTGTGTGTGCAAGCACACCAGTGTGTCCTTGCATGTATGTGTGTGGAGGGG